CCGCGCCGGTACCGCCGCGGCTGCGCCAGCACTGCCGCGGCAGCCCACACGGCCGGCGTCAGTGACAGACTCCGAGCCGGTCCCTGCAGGACCGTTCATCACGTGCCGCAGCCGGTCACAGGCGGGGGATCTCTCCGTGACGCCGTGCGTTACTCATTGCGTGCCACCGCGTGACTCCGCGTGACTGGGCGTGACGGTGCGTTACGTGCCGCAGTGTGCGTGTGACGCTGGCACCCGCGTGACCGACGCGTCGCCGCCGCTGGATGCGCCGCGACCTCCCCATGGAGACGACCTGGCGGTACCGGCCCACCCCCGCCCCCGCCCCGCCCCGCCCGCTGGGGTCAACCGCCGATGGACTGCTAATTATATTGATTGGCGTGCATGAGAGCGGACCATCGAGCGGAGAGCGGTGCCGGCGGCGGCCGAGCCGTCGGGTGGGATGGCTGGCCACTCCCTGAGCGCCGGCGGCAGCCTCACGCCGGTGTGGTACACGGCGCTGCACTGGCCGGCTCCGGCAGCCGCGCCGCATCGCCACCGCTCCGCCAAAATTGCCGCCACTGCTGCGGCAAATCTGCCGCTATCGCTGCGCTCAATCTACCGTATACCTAATCAATGCCCCAGATCGGCTGCAGCTGCCGATCTAAGCCAAACAGATGGACTGCGTTTACCGCAGTGTAGTTATGCACAGTTACAAGCCGTCAGTCAGTCAAAATAAATAGCTTGCACCCGTCCACCAGTTGCTGCTCTCGGAGCGCCGGCTTCTCGTCTCGCTCGACGGAACTCGGGCTACCATTTGCATTCCATCGGCAGCTGTCTTTGCCTAGCGGGCTGTCTCCCGCGCTCTCCCGCCGCTGCCGCGCCGCTTCTCCGACGATTACCGGCGCTCGTTGAGACCATTGTGGCGCGTGAAATGAGCCGAGACGCAGCGCTGCTAACCGGCGAACCACTGACGGATGGCAGAGGATAATTCCTGCCATATCCCTCCGGTGAAGGCGGCGTTATCTCGTTGCTCGTCAGCCGAGCCGGGTACCACCTGAGACCCGGCCGGCGCGCAGTCTGCCACCGCCTGAGAATAGGTCCCCGAGGTCACATTTGGTAGACGCGTGCGTTACTCTGCGTAATTCGGGCCGGTGTATCGGCAGGGATGGTTACATTCTCTGGTCTGCTAGGGATCGGACAAAGTGGACCAGAGAATGAGCTAGCTAGGGCGCCTTTGATGTAGGAAATTCTAGGGGATATTTTTGGAAGGCCCAGGAACCGGCTGGTAACTAGAAAATATGAAGCCAGTTCAAAGCTTGCTATTATTTTGACGTATCCTTGTATTGATAAGCCGTAAGTATTCCGTTTTTAACTATGACAACTTTCAAATATATACCAATAGGTTCAGGCCTGCCAATTAAAGTCAAACGCACCGTTTACCTGGCGTGTGCGCCATGTCCAGGTGACCGTCCGTAGCACGCGGCTGTTTCGTTTTGACCGCGGTTATAAGGCCGTCCCGCTGGCGGCACAGTCCCTAATTTGACGTCGGCAGAGCTGCAAATGACTACTGAATCATTCGGCGCGCCCCGCCCTGCCCGCGGCCGCCGTCTTTGTTTTAATTATCGCTCCAGACAGAACTGTAATCAGTCGACCACAGCGGAAATTAGTCGGTAATTGCACGCAGCGAAACTGCATGAACATACTCGTCAGCCGATCTAGATCCGCAGCAAATTGCGAGCACAGGCTGTTTGGTTTGAAAGCCTTCCCGTCATTATTGCGACAATATGCGGGTGGCACGGTCCACGATGTACTTGTTGAAACAGTTCTATCTCTCTCTGATGAGACGACGTTCTAACGCGACCGACAAAAGCTTGTTGGCAAGGCGTGAGCGATGACGAATGACCTCAACGGCATAAACAGCCTCTTTTTAAATGGCGGACATGCCAAATTACCTCGCTTAGACCCACTAATGGTGGTGCAAGTATGCGAACAACCAAGACGAGTCCAATTAAGCACTGTATGGGAAGATACTATCGTGCGAGGTTTCGCAAAGCCAATTCATCACGTGGTCTGTTTAACGAGCCAACGTGTGCTGCTCTGTCCGGAATGGCCGCAGCACCCCGCCCAGTCGACTTCCGAACGTCATTTTCAGCCAATTCATGCTAAACACCCGGGCGGACAATGCGTCATTATGTGCGCGCTTATGCTGTCATTAGGTTCGCTGGACGCGCGCGCGCCGGCCGTGCAGCCGCAGCGCACAATCCGCCGCACTGGCGACGATTAGCGGCGCCCGGAGCTGTCGCACGGCCGGCCGCACTGATTGTGACGTATGCGGCGCGCGTCTGCGTCACAACTGACGCAGGAAGCACCACCGCCACGCCGCGGTGAGCACGGCATTGTCCCAGGCCGATGGCTGTAAAAAGGCCTTGGGCGTCGCCGGCCAGCCCTCGAGGTCCGTCGCGCCGGACGGGGGGAGACGCTTCTGTCGCTCCGTCGGACCAGACGCAGGCCCGCCGTCTCCGGAGCTTAACGGGGACAAACGCGATCGAGGGGAGGCAGATGGAATCGGGGTCCGAGAGACAGAGGAATTAACAAGGACTGGACCCGATTCGGAAAGAAATGGAGAGAACGAATAGAGACAGATGCGGGCTAAAATCTTAAACGTGGGCAGTCTGGGGACTTAGCCGGGGGACAATGACCGAGACGCAGACAGAAACACAGAGGAGGCAGGAGAGATGGGGAGAGGCGAAGAGAGAGAGAGACAAACCCAGATGGGGCTGGGGACAGAGCTCAGACAAAGCCGGTGTCGGGGACAGCTGAGGTAGAGCCGGTCACAGAGCTTAGATGGACCCGGGGATAGCGGGCCTCCCTCAACCGATGTCGCCACCACAGGCCGCCTTTCATCGTCGGTACGACCGCTCGCCCGACGGACGATTCATAGCTCCATTGGAGCAGAGGCCGCTTCATATCCATAAGTCCGATCGGACCAGATTGAAAAATCGATGTGGCCCTGGCCAGTGCCGCTACTCGGGACGAATGGGACGCTCTCTCGTAGTTTTCCGCGGGTGCCGGCGGCGGCGGCGCGGTGTGTAAAGCGGCCGATCGCGGCTCGCTCCTGTCTCGCTTCTATGCCTCTCGCGCTGCCCTGTGCCTCTCCCAATATCTCGGCGCCCGTGGTTCCTCTCTCTCCTGGTGCAGCTCTGCGGCTGGCGAGAGATTAATTACACAGGTACTGCGTGTAATGGGCGTCGGGTACAGCCCAGTCGTCGGCAGCACGTCTGGGTCGACAACGGCCTCGCCGCCGGTCCCCCACGCGCACTATTTGTCATATTTAGAGCCGAAAAGCTTTATTACCTGGCGACTAGACGGCCGGTATTGCTGGACGATGAAAGAGACCTCACTGTGGCGTGTAACCGGCCTTGGTGTAGCGTCGTTTAATGTCAGTGACGCGGAGCTTCTGGCGGCAGCGGAGAACAATATCTGTCAAGGCTGGCCGCTGAGCGACTGATTGGGTTGTGCCCGGCGGCAGGGCACGGACGGGGGCTCGACACAACCGCCCGCGGGCCAGCCTTAATGAAGTCGTCCCGAGGAGACCGACCAACACCGAGCGGCGCTACAATAGCCGAGTGTTTTTCATCTCCAGCCTTTCACTTTTGCCGAGTGCGCATACAGATGCGCCACAATGAGGTTTCAATTTGCTTGCTCCCGGGGACAAAGGGCCATCGAAGCCGGCCATGTGCTCTGGACAGCTCATTGTGCAAGTGGCATCTGTCGGACCCCGGTGGAATAGGCGTGAAGTGCGCCCCGACCTGCCGGCAATCACCGTGACGCAATGACAGGGCTAATTACGACCTCTGAGTCGGTGACCCAGCGCTGATGACAGCAGGGAGGGCACAGACAGACTGCTTATGAAGTGATCGTGATATACACACGGGAAGTGGGACGAAGGAAGGTCAGAGGTTGTGGTTGGAGAGAATGGTGGGAGACTGCTCCGATACGAATGGGTTATGACTCATGGCAATTGTATTATAGTCATCTGGGGCTAGGAGTTTTTGGAAGTCCCTTTGAACCCAGTCAGCAATCGTATATATGATTTGGCATGTCTTGGTCGGCGGAGACCAGCTGACAGTCTCGATCATCTGCGCCTCTTCATTGTCCGGTTCAGCTGTGACTCAGCAGCTGGTGACGGCGACTCCACTGAGTCACTAGCTCACCAGAGGTGACAATCACGCTCACCATAACCACCAGTTTCACACTCCCGTGCACCACACGGAAACCTCTGTGCTTCTCAGAGGCGATTACCCCTCGCGGCTGGCGTCACTCACACACTTACTCCACCATGTGACGTCACGCTCGTGCTGCACACTGACGCCAATGACGTCATTTGGTTGTCGATGTTCGGCAAATGGCGCTAACCAGGCGGCCATTCATCAGTGGTCGGCTCGCGGCGCTCGCTATCGACAGCGGAGACAGAACAATGCGAGCTCGGTGGCGGCGGCTGGCGGATCCGCGCCGCCTTACAGCCGGCTCTGCGAGTCTCTCACAGCGAGCTCACAGCCTCTCACAGCGAGCTCACGACGCTCACAGCGAGCGAGAGGCCTCTGCCGCCGATCGGAGTCATTTGTCCAGCTGCCACGGAGCGGCGGTGCTGGGGGAGGGGATGGGAGGAAACTGACCGCAGCCGAGTGCCGAAACTGGCCAGGCTGGGTTGGGAATTTGAGATGGACGAAGCTGTGGCTATAGCTGGAGTTTGGCCGCTGAAATTTGGCGTGGGAATAAATATGAGGCAGGTTGAAACGCAATATGGTATAAGTTAACGGTCCACTTGATATATCAAGTGGATATATCAAGATGCACTTGCATGACCAGTGACCACGCTTCTGCATTGATGTATGTGTGACGTATACTTTCATGAATGTCTTTTACGTTATGTCAAGCTATAAATATCAAATGCTCTCCCACCCCTTCACTGGCCCTGCAATGCCAAGTATTTAACTCTCGCCCCCGTTTTCTGTTGACAGAGGTGACGTCATCGTCATGGATTCCGATCCTGGTGGTGGTGGCTCTGCTGTCCGCCCTGCTCGGCGCCATCGGCATGGTGGCCGTCATCCGCTGCCGCAGGTGGGTCAACGTGCTGCCCTCCTTAGCTTCACCCGGGGCGTCAGATACTCCTTACTTGGGCCCACGTTGTAGTGTGCAATGTGCATGCGGGTCGCTGTGTCTCGGCGTCGGCACGCTAGCTGACCGGGGGTCATGGCAGTAAACTGATTCCAAGGCAGTGCCCTGGAGTGGGCTAGGTCGAGCCCGGTTGGCACCTGGCGTGGTCACTGAGTAACTATAGGGTGTGGCAACATGACTCCCAGCCAGGGTTGTATACGACTCAATCAATAGCAATCAATTCAATCACGACAAATTTGGGAAACCAATCAAATCAATCAAGTCAGAGCAGTTTTCGGGAATTGATTCAATCGACTCAAACGCGACAATGAAAGGAATCAATCAACTCAATCAAACGACTCAAACCAAGATATACATTAGGTTTTTTGCCCCACCAACTTGGAAAAGTGTCCATAGCAGTCTGGTGTACCTACCTACCTACCTACCTACCTACAGAAGAAACAAAAATATTGTCATTTAAAATTATAAATTGCCATGCCATTCAAAGTTTTTATGTAATAAGGAAGGATACCTAGTGATGGACAGGTGGATCATGATATTGAGGTTCAATGGGTAGAATTGGAGCAGAAGTTTCATTTAATGGGTGCAAAATAACCCAGTAGTTGACTTCAACAAACGCCCCTTAACCCAAATCACCACCTTTCACCTAAAAGTTGTCAATTTAATTTTGGCCATATTCCAGCTAAGTCATCAGGCCATCTACCCCATGTAAAGCCCCCGTCTGTCTCTTATATATGTGAGTTATGCGGAGCTCTTCTGAATTGAACCCTGAACATAATGAACCTAGCTAGGTTACATGCCACACTGACACCATATTGATATGAAAGTGTTGAAAATGTGCTATAAATTTGACAACTTCATTAGGTATGCTTTATGAAGACAGCAGGAAAGCAGGTAGGTACCTACTTACCTGCCTAGATGTGTCACTGGCTACCAACAGTACCAACGAAGGTAGATAGGTTATATGTGAAGAATTCAAAACATTTTATTGCAATACAATTTGAAACTGTTAGGACTGGGGGATAGGGATGAGCATTAAAATATATTTAAAAGGAAATGGAAAGGACAGGGACTCTGGAACCACAGGATAAGTTAAGGACAAAGGAAGAAGAACAATGAAAATTAAATGCCGTTGGTGCGACTGCGAAAAAAACAAAGAAAACGTTTTGCCAAGAAGTATGCTAAGCTTTTATAAATCCTTATTCTTCGTCTTTTGATTTTTTGGTAAGATGACGTCATTGATTATCATGTAGTATGGTAGATCATCATAAAATAAATCGGTTGTACAACACCAATTTCGTTTTAATTATTATTTCAATTGAAATAAAACCACTTAATAATATTCGGTAAAATATTTTAAGGAAAATGAAATATGTTATGCCTAGGCTCTCAGGAGAAAAGCACGGTGACTATAAATAGAGAAAAGGATCAACAAACGTTCTGCTGCAAATTAAACAATGCAGCAAATTAGCTATTAATGTAAACGTAATTAGCGAGACGAAAACGGCGCTTTTGTTTCAGCTATTTTTGTAGGGGTTTCAGATATTTATAGAGTTCAGTGGGTTGTTTCTGAGGAGATGTGGAGATGTGAATTAGTAATTAATCACACTTTATTAGTATATAGGGCCTTGCACTTTATCATCTGGATTAAAAAAAAATTCCTGCTGAGTGCAGAAAGGTAGGTAGGTGCATCGCCAGGTTCTATCACAGGATTGGACTCAATTGGAGCAGTTATTGCAGTTGAAAGTCAAAGTTGGCTGTTCATGTTTAGGCCCTGTTCTTTATTTGGCCATCTACTCCATATTGCAGTTGTGATGACAAGCAGTTTTCAGTGTAGTTTTGTGATCTTTGATGTCATCAATTGGTGTCATTATTTTTCGTCAACTAAAACTTATTTCAACTTTCCATTCAATCGACTCAATCATACGAGTCACTCTAATTTTCGGGAATCAAATCAGTCAACCAGTCGCTAAAGTCAAACGAGTCAGTCAACCAGTCATCTCGAAAAGTCAATCGACTCAATCCAATCAACTCAAAATACGCGCTGAATCAAATCAATCAATTCAATCGACTTGATTGGTATACAACCCTGCTCCCAGCACTGTGAACGAAATTCTAAAACACCCCGATGGTGGAAGTTTCGCCAATGTTTCGGCCGGAGTATTAGCTCCTGGGCATCACTCGTTCCACTCAGCCTACCCGCGGGCCGTCTGTGAATTGCTGGCTGCCCTGTCCCGGGGTCACTGGCTGTATCACTCTCCCTGGTTAGACGGGCCCCGGGTGGCTGCGCCCGGCGCCGGCCTCAGCCATTACCGGCGCGGCCGGCAACCCGGGTCGGTAATTTGGCCGGTCCTGGTGTCGGCAAACGGGGGCCATTTGGCGGCCTGTTTTTAGAGGTGCGACCCGTACCCGGCAATTTGTGGAGTCTGACCAACCGCCGGCGCCCGCGCCCGTCCCTCGGAAACAGATCAATTACGTGAGGCGGCGTCTAAGGGGGGGGGGCCAAGGGGGAGCAGAGACAGGTGATGACATTATTTGAAAGGCGGATGGTCGTTGTGAGTGGTTAGTTTGAGTAGCCGTGACATCGGGATGCCAGAAGAGGACCTCTTGTAATGTGATGCCGGACTTAGCACTGAGTTGTTGTGTCGCGCGTCCTTATTTACTGCAAGACTTTTGAAAGAATGACGGCAGTGATTTTAAACGTACAATTTTACTGTGAAGCCCCATTGGATTTTAAAGCTGCCTATCAGTGTTGTTGTTGTTATTGCTGTTTGTGTTGTTTTCATTGTTTGATGTTGTTGTGATGTTCGTGCCACCACTTGGTAGCCATTGCTAACAAGCTGTTTTTGTTTGCAGGTTGCGGGTTCTGCCATCAAAAGGTAAGCACGCCACATCGGTTTTGTTATCAAAAACGTCCAGCTGGTGTCATTTATACCCCTTGCAGGCCTCGTAGCTGAAAAACATATGTCAGTTTCTGTTTTCGTGATAGCACTGCTGTGTTATATTGGGCTAGTTTATATCGGGCCGCAGCAGATTGGTAGAACAGGATTTCCGGGATTTAGCACGTCACCCCTCTGCGCCACCGTGCACGCTTCCCGTCTGTAATGGTTCAGGGTCAGCGCTGCGGAGCTACCGTTTTCCGATCGGGTCCCTCTCACAGCCGCTATCAGAGGCGGCTGCCGTCCGGTCCTCCAGTAATTGAGCCGCTCGCTGGTCCCGCCAGCCACGACACGGTAATTTAGCCGGCCGTTTGATAGCGGCGGCTTTGAAGGGTAACCCTGGTCATTTTTATTAATGGTCACTCTTCGCACGCAATATCGGCCGTGTGTAGCGGCGCCCGCGGCAGTCTCCGCCGGCCGCCTCTCACGCCGGGCAGGTGCTGTATTGGAGCAGTAAGCCACCCCAGGAAGGAGATGTCAATATTCTTTTCAGTGAAATATTCCCAGCCTTGGGACTGAAGAGGTCCTTGACCTTCCGGCTATTTGAGTCCGGCGCCGGCCACTATTCGACAGTGGGCGAAAATATGCCCTCATCCCTTCCACGCTCCACAGATGAAAAGGATGGGTGGCATAAAACGAGAACCCAGCCATAAAGAAAAGGGAAAAGGAAAGAATTTATGATGGATTTGCATCACAAAGGAGGCTGTAGTAAAATTCACTTTTGACTTTGACTGAGAGCTGGGAGCGCTGGTATAAAACTGTCCGCGGCCCGGCCCGCTCCTAGCGATGTCCGGAAGAAGGCTATAGTCCACGTCTGTCGCGTCCGTCGCCCCGTTTCGGGCACCTCATTTGCTGCGGCTGGGTCTTTTGCTCGATGGCGCCGGCCGGATTTATTTACGGCTGTTCCAGTTTACCTGGAGTGATCCTTTGTTGTTTACGACGCACGTCGGACGTGGAATGCTGGTCCGGGCCGTCAAATTGGGCACATAAATCGCGACACTACCGGAGGTGCCGCGCACACTGATATACTGCCGAGCAGAGCGGCCCGCCCGACCCGCGCGCGCTTCGGTGGCGCGGCAATCTGTCCGACTGTGGGAAGCCGCTGTGCTCTCAGGGTGGTGCTGTTGCATGCGCTGGAGAACAGCATAAAGAATGTGCGGGAGGTGCCGAGCGGTATGCATGCTCAGACTTCCGGCTCAGTAGTCGTATTACTGTGTCTTAGTGCATGGTTGATGTGATGAGTAAATTCTTGGCTGGAACGAGCTACCTCGAGCTACCGTAGTGTTGAAATCATTCATCACGTTTTTTTATTAGTGAGGCTCTAATCTGCGTGAAAATTTTCCTCGTTTCCTGCTACGGGTGGCTGAAACTAAGACTTCTAAGCCGGCAAGCCGACAGTGACCGATGAGTTAGAATGCGGCGTTTTTATTCCGTAATGCGGCTCAGTGCTGTTTGCTGGCGGGTTATTAAGTGGCCCCTCGCTACGATCCGGTGGCCAGAGTTCTGCTCCACCCGCGCTGCATTCCATCAAGGTGCAACTGGTATTGTTATCCTCGCTAACTACGTAAACGATCTTTGCATGCTTGGTTGATAATGCATAATCCTCGCTACGCCATCTTAACATGATCGTCTTAGCATATTTGAATTAGCAAGCTTATCGTCAAAGTCACAGTTTGATGTTTACAAAGAAGTAAGACAGAAAATCATTTTGCAAACAAGCCACTACGGATGTTCAATCGTCTATGTCTCCGGGCCCAGAGGAGCCATGCAGCTTTGACCCTCTCTCCGCACCATTCTCAAACATAAAGCCATCATCTCTTCTCCCGGGGGTGGACAGTCGACCCGGTACCGAAGGACGCCCCTCACCGCCCCTTGCCGCCCTGTCCTGCCGCTCCCACGTCCCATCCCTGGCCTTCATTCCTGACCCTGCCGCACTGCGCCGCCCGCTCCACCCTCGGCGCGCTGATTTGACTATTTTCATGCTAATCCCTGGTGGGTGTCCCGTGCAATTTGCAGCGTCGCACGCCTGCCGCGGCGTTGTTCGGCGCTCGTCATCGATGTATCAGTTTGACTCGCGAGTGCCCAGGATGGTCTGAGTGGCGTCTGAGTCACGGGATGGGCCTAGTAAAGGAGGGACGTGAGAATGGATTGCGATGATTGGGTCGTATTTAGTGAGCCGTGCTTTAGAGTGATTGAAATAAAGCGGGTTTGCAATTGCAGTATCTCTTTCCCATTACGAAACGAGTGTACTGGGTATTCGTACATCATGCTTCAGTGTGATGGTAGCGAATTGAAGCATAGGCGCACGAAATTAAATGCAAGAACTATTGAAGCTGGTTGCGAATGAAAATGTGGATGAATCGACTCAACTCATTGAACTTTGGTTCTAACATTGGACATCGAACCTTTAGACTAAGTAAATTGGACTGAACTCAGACCATTCCATTGAACCGCAGGAAACACCAAACAGTTAGGTCTTCAATTTTCCGTTGCCAAATTGAACTCTCGAACTTCAATCCAATCACAGCTCTTCCACCATGGACCCATCCATCCAGGAGTCCGGACCAATGTTCCCGTTTTGTTTGAGTACCGCGTGACCAATCCCTTGAGAGGAGACGGTAGAGGCCTATACCTCGTCTGGGTAGGACCAGATTGGACCACTGAGTCGTATCGGACCATCCTGGACCGATGGCTCGGACCAAACACTCTGGACCGTACGCCGACGCCTGGTTCGTTCCGCGGTCCGGGGCCAATTACCGAGCCAAACGCTCCGACAGATTGAGTCGTCCATAACCGGCACGAGCCGCCACGCGCCGAATAAGGACGCCGCGATGGATTGGCACAGCACGCGCGCCAGACCTGCGCCGCGCCGGTCACGGGTCGGGCGGCGGGCGGGGGCGAGCACCACGCCCAGCTGTGCGCAGATGGATCGGGGCTTGTATGGTCTGAGGGAGAGCCAGGAGAAATTGCGCAGCTTGATGATGTATCTCGTTGTAGTGACCTCATAACTACTTGGATAAGGTGTAGATGCTCTAAAAGGAAAAGTTTTTCATTTCGATGAGCAATTGAACACCATACCAGAGATGAAGACATTTAAATTAACTCCCCTGCCATATCGTCATTGGACCCTTGAATGATCTTTCCCACTGTGTGTGTGTCTACCAGATCATTCTGACTTGGTCTTCTTTGTGTTTCAGGTCTGTGTCCTCTGGTGTCACTGGACCGACCGAAGGAGGACGCTCCTCCCCTGCCGTCCTCCAAACCTCCGGCCGGCCGGGGCGACGCCGGCGACGCGGGACGGCAGCGCGCCTGGGCCGGCCGGCTGTGGGCTCGGCCCCCCAGCGGTACCGGCTCAGCCGCCAGCTACGCTGACCAGCCCTACACGTTCCCCGACCAGGAGAGCGCCGTGTACGCCGAGCTGAACAGCGTGGCCGGCTCCCAAGGCGTGCCCGCCTACCGCGCTTATGTGATGAACACTTATAGTGAGATTCGCGACCCGCGCCGCCTGTTACCCGACGGGACGTATGAGAACGCCGGCTATGTGCTGGAGCCGGCGCTTCACGGTGTCGGCGGCGGCGGGGGCGGGGGTGGAGAGTCGGGAGGCTCTGGTTCCAACCACAGCAGCGCGTACTACTCGGACATTTCGGCTGGAGAACCGGCCGGGGGTAGTCAGCGGCGCCGGCGCCGTGAGCTGGCCAGTGTGTCAGCACGAGTCGTGTACCCTCGCCGGCTACCGGTGCCCATCAACTTACTACCAGACGCGGCTGATCTACCGGACAACCTGGAGAACCCGCCGCCGGAGAGCACCATGATCGCGGCGACCCGGCGCGGCTCGCAGTACCGTCTGCTCGACAGCCGGACGCTGGCCGCCGCCGGCCGGCTGACCGCTCCGCCCGGGGTACCGGTGGCCGGCGCCTCGGCAACCGATCCGCTCCGGCAGCCGCACAACATGAGCTTTCGCTCGGACCCTGACTCTGGACAGCGCTCCGGAGACTCGGGTAACCGGTCCGGCTCCGAGCAGGGCAGCCTGGAGCGGCGGCCGCTGCCGCTTCTGCCCAGCCGGCGCGTGCAGGGACCGCAGAAGCGCGGGGTGTACACGCTCACACAGCAGTGCGAGGAGCCTCCGCCGCCGCCGCACGCGTCAGAGTATGTGTAGCGGCGGCAGTGTCAGCCTCACTGTGCAATAGAGCTGCCGGTCGGCGGTAGGGTGCACCGTCCCCGGTCCGCCGTCGATACTCCGATCAGCGTTAGCGCGCTCCGGCGAGATAAAAACTCGTCACCCGCGCACAAAAAACAGTGGCGTGTAAGCCTCTTAGCGAGCTTACCGGCGGAAACCGTTGTTTTTGGTCGGCAGGCGCTGTGATGTTATCATCTAGTCACGAGCTCTCTCATCCCCGGAGACAAAAACGAGAGCAGAAAAACGCGTTCGGGATGCGCTGAGCAGAGGCCGGTGCGCTCGGTTCAGTGTTTACTCCGCAGTCGAAGCTCGATATTTCTTCATAACTGTCTGCCGGTCGCGAGGGCGGGGAGGCAGCGGCGGTGGGGTCCCGCCCTCTGCGCTGTCGTCCCGTGCGGTCTCTGACGACTCAACCGGCGCCGACCAGCCGTCATCAGTGCCGTCATCGTCTGGATCGTCATCGCCAGCATCGTCATCGCCTGGGCCGTCATCACCAATATCTTCATCAGCTCCAGCCGACTAGATCCTGCCCCGCTGGAACCTGGCTGAAGGTAAATATAACGTCGCCACCCTTTCCGGTATGCAAATTGATCAGCTTCAATAACCGTGAGGGACTGCGCTTCATTTACCCCGGGGTGTTATGGAGGAAGTTTTGGTAGGGTCGGCGCTCGCCGATGCCGGTTCCAGATGGGGTTACCATGGCAACCAGTTCTCCCCTCCAGCCCGGTGCAAACTCGATCTGCAATGCCGTCTTTGTGTGTTTGCCGCGAGTTCTGGCCAGTCTCAATGTTGATGTTATCGGTTGGCGCTAGGAGTTGTTTGGAAACTTGTCAGGTAACTCGGGTCCAATGCAGAGCTCCCCAGCTTCCAATTAGCATATCATTAGCCATGATATAAATGGGCTGGGGGCATGCTAGCGGTCGATGGTGTGTTCATTGTGGCGTCTGGGTGCCGGCGGCGGGCCCGGCGGCCGCAGCTGGGGTGGAGACTGCACGCGGCCCGCTCGTCAGTGTGTCTGCACAGGCCCGGAACGGCCGCCGGCTTCCGCGGCCGGCGCCTCTCGGCCGACCCTCAGAGCGGCCAGTTTTGTCTCTCAGAGTAGCCAGTTTTTACTGCCGATGGCCGTTGTGTCGAATCCCACAAAAAGACCGACTCGGTCGGTAAAAACGTCCACATTTCTCCGGCTAAGCACTGGAATAATCGTGAGGTCAAGAGAGATGATTTTCACGCATTTTTCAATGATAAAATCTCGACGAACGGGTACAAAGGGAATCGCGCCCGGACCGAGGAAAAAGTCGAATAACATTAGAATATCACCGGTTTTTGTGTCATGAGGCTTCGGCATTTCAAGCAAGCAGGATATTCCAAATCTTCGTGAGGTTAATAAGTAATGAAGTAGGCAGAAAGACCGCCTCCAAACCTCAAACCATTGCAAAGAGCTCCTCCATGCGATAGCGAGCGCTTGTTCTATTTTCTCACGGTGTTTGTCACCCTGGTGACTGTGATTCTTCGGCAACTTCAAACGAGTGCCGCGTCCGCGACCGCTGATTGGATGGTCTGTGTCACCGCATCAGGCACACGCGAACTGACACCCTGACGTGACAATTCTGAGCGGAGCCCGATTAGTCGCTCACCGGCCGACTATTTAAGGGGAATTCACGTCACTGACCGGGAAAAGAATGCCCACTTTCCCGGCTGACCGCTCATTTCCGACGCCAATTCAGCCAGAAAATTGTGTTTATCTGTTTAACGAACAATGGGACAGTTTCCTTTTCCTCGTTGATAAACATCCCGAGCGTATTTTTGAAACGCCAAAAGGTGTGATGTGTCGTAGATTTGCCGACCATGTCAGCGCTATAGCGCTTTGTTGAGGAGCTGAATTGACAGCACTAGAATGGGCATATCAGTGTTATTCCCAACAAGTCTATAAAAACGCAGAATGGACACCTTGTCAAAGCCGAATTAGGTTTATTAGCAACGGATAATTTGGACATGTTTTATGCAAATTATTATGCCTGGGAAGTCACCGGAAAGAAGCGGTGACTCCGACTGAAAGAGCTTTTGTTCGTGTACGTTTCACCATCGCCTCGTCATCAATTTGATAGGTTCATTCAAATGGGCGACGCTTTAGCAGCTACTTATCCGCCGTCTCTGACACTTGGGCTGTCCCCTGTGGGAACCTTAGAAGTGCAGCAAAGTGAGGTTTTATGTCGGGGGCACCTGGGACACTACCTTTAGTCAACTTCAAAGGTCACTGACCTCTGCAGCTCCCCCTCCCTCAGGGATAGGGGTCACCTCGTTCGCCGGGGCCCGATTGTGTTCGTGAGGAAATTCGTAATAAACCCACCGATGGTGATGTTCGAGAGGGGTGAAACGAAACGGCCGGTATAAACCGGGTCGATCCGTTCCAGGGCGCCGCTGCCGCCGGAGTGGCTGATGAACGGGGTGGCTGGCCGGCGACACGCCCCATTGCTCGGCCAGCGCGGTAACTCGGCGGCCGTTTGTTCCAGGTGACCGGCGTCGGAGGACGGCCGCGGCGCAGACAGCGAGCGACCGACCGAAGGATCGACGGATCGACGAAGTTCAGGCGGCTGCCGACGCACCAACTGATCAACGCACCGATGGACGGCAGAAAGCTGCAGCTGCAGAGCCCCGAACGCCCTTACGTGGCATCAGCGAAGGCACTTGGCTCCATTTGAGGTCATCGTTCCGCCCAGCCGCAGACCATTCCAGAGGGCGTCCCTCCGACGCGCTCGGCTTTATCCGGCAGTCGGCGCCCATCGCCACTGGCATATCAAACTATTTCGCACTCAGGAGACCGTCTCCATGCGTTTGTGATATCCTTGATTGTTGTAACCTGCCTGTGCGTGTGTGTATGCGTGTGTGTGTACATATGTGAGGAGTCCTGAGATCGTATTATCTTATCTATACCAAATCGCATTCAAGAATAAAAACCTGCTGAACAAGGCGGCGTTTTGTGGACGCGGCACGCGGCCGAAGTTGAGGACATTGTCTGGTTGGTTATCGCCGTCATCATCCGTGGACGGTCGTTAGCTGTCATGACAGCCGTGGCACTTTTTCCGGCTGATGGGACAGCTGGAACTGTCGGCAGAGGAAATAGACGTCGTGCTGAGCTGGGACGATAGAGCGGTACCGTGCCTCGTGTGAAGTAAGGTCGTGAATCAGACGCATGTCGTTGTACTGATGGGTGACGATTGAAGCGGTATGAAACGTTGACGAAAGATGCATGCAGTTTACAAACAGATTATCTAGTAAAAAAAAACAGACACACACACACACACACACACACACACACACACACACACACACACACACACACACACACACACACACACAAACTAGAACTCTTATCTTCTTTAGCCAACACGTTTATCATACATTAAAGAGAATTATTATTATGCATATTTATATGAATCATGAATTTGGCAATACTATCTAAGACCTTCTATCAGCCATCTTATTAGAGATTTACAACTACGCTTCATCCCATTGGATTGGCATTCCCGTCTCGATGCTATCCACGTCTTTCTAAAAGACTTTGCACAATGTACGAAACATTTAAACACGTGCACTGTAACGAAACATAAAGCGGCACATCCAATCTTCTGGAACATGTTCACGTTCAGGCAGATACGGTTCAGTCAGTATTGATCCAACTTTGTCCCGCCTTGAAGTCGAGTCGTGAACAGAGTCACGACTTGCCAACTGTAGCAGAACAGGCGGCTTGTGACAGGAGCTCGCCGAGTGGGGCAGAATTGTCAACTGGGGCAGGGATGGGAGCAGAGCAATGTCGGAGTGAAACACACATGGCGTTTAAAGGTAGTGTGCCAGCTTTCTTGGACCGTATGGAGTTAATGGCCCAGATAAGGAGAACCGGATTTTTAGAACTTATCCATACCTTCAAAACTCATGGAAACGTCTTAAATTCTTCAAATTTTGAGTACCCCAGTGCGAAATTCGCCCCGACGGGTTGTCGGTCGTACCCCAACCACATTTCACACCACTATGAACAATAAATGCACACACTGAAATCACTATTACCGATATGCTCATCCAATCAAGTTTCGATAAACCCGTTCATCATCATCTCCTGCGGTTTCGAACACGCCTGTTAGGTGGCTTCTGATGCTCGTCGAGGTCGGAATTTCCAAATACGCGTGGTGCGTCGGGCCGCGCGCTCTGACTTCGGCCAAGAAAAATGCGTCAGCTGATCATTGTCATTTCTGCCACTTGCGTGTGGTGAAATGGGGTCATAACTTATAAGACGGCTTTTTCATATCAATTATTTTACATAAAATCGTATTTCAAACCATAAATAATGTTCGACAGCCAAATAAAAGAAACAATACAATACGGGCTTACAGTTTAAGGCTCGACATTGTGTTGTCTACGATTAGACAGCTGATAACTCATTCCCGTACGTCGTATGGTCGTAACACTATAATGACCTTTGCATATTGTCACAAGTGCGCCGCATTCGCGATTGTTGCCCGACGCCTGTTTGCAGGTGAGCCCACTACAGTTGTTATACATATCTAAAAACCGAAAAACTTTTAGGCGAAAAAGGCACTATTCCAGGCCCATTTTTGATTTGTTTTGCGATATTAGGTAAAAACAGAAGCTTCTTATCCTAGGAAAAATAAAATGGGAAATCTTTCAAAGGTGGCACACTACCTTTAAATATCTCCACCTCATATAAAAAGAAGCGTAGCTGAAACATCATAGCTCCAGTCATTTATTGTTCGTATATCGTTAAACATTACCAACTCTGCCACCCTTCGCTAATCGCCACGCACAATGACCCCTCCCCGCTCCCCGACGCGAGCCGCCGTGCTACGCGGCCGGAAGCGGCGGCTCAGAGGGGGTGTGGGCGGGGGAGGGGGCGGAAGCTGGGCCCGCGGCCGGTGACAGGTCATGTTCCGGTGCGTGGCCCCGTGATCTGCGCCGGGTGGGCCGGACCGGTAATTGAGGAGGACCGGACCAGGTGGAAACGGACGGACTGTCACGGTGGCAGAGGACAGACTGTCACGGGTATCTGACTGACTCACGGAGACAGAGGACGGGCTGTCGCGATGACAGAAGCCAGCTTGCCATGGTGGAAGAAGACGGTCTGTCACGGGCGATCCTTAACGGGTAGTGGATGAACTATCACCGTGTCAGCAAACGGCCTGTCACAGGTGACAAGTGACAACAGATGATTTGCTCACGGTGGCCTTGAAATGTCAAACTTTCCTTCATTGAAACAAAAATGAAGGCAGGAAATCAGTGTTTGACAATAGACTTCAATTTTGTAGAACTACAGAGGTACTTTCAAGCACACTCTGATAGCACTGGTGAGCGTTCACATACTAAGATTATTTTGTTTGCGTCTATAAAAGCATTTAACCTTTTGATAGAAAACCATTCAGTTTTTCGTGTGAAATATATGTATGTCTCCAGTTACACTGAATAAGGTATCGGCTTACCACTCTGTGTTGCTTAGCCTGCAATGAAAGCCACAATCATAATCACTCAATCCTCATTACATGCATCTTCCAGCGCAGTTATTTACTTTGGGGCAATATTTATGCAACACCTTGGTTAATACGATAGCAAAAGATCCACTTACCGTGAGATATGACCAGCTCGTATCAGCAATAGAAAATAACCGTTGCTGCTCCGCCAAGTGCTAGACGTCATAAAAGTTCGTTGATGATTGCATGCCAATTGTTTGGCTTACAACACAGATAAAGCATGTATTTATAGCCTAGACGATTGTGATGGCGATATGTTTTTGTGCCTGCCTTTCATCAAACGCCAGGGAGGATATCAAACGCTTGCCGAAGCGAATCGACACGGGGTCGTAAAATGAGCACATGCTGTGATGGACAAATTTCAAATCAATGCAGTGGGGCTTCGAGCTGTTGATTACACGCCATTGTGTGATCAGACGAGTGTTTTGACGACTGTCTCTCTTTCATAGCTCGTTTTGGCAAATCGCAATGCAGGATTTTGCGACGATTTTGATTATACGATAAGTAAAACGGAAGAGTGACCCAAAGTAAGTCCAAATGACCCAAAGTCCAAATGAACCAAAGTAAGACATATTATCCATCAACTGCTTTTTCATTAATATCCCTGGAACACAGGGAACAGGGAACACTGGCTCACCTGTGGACTAAGCCACAGTTGAGCTTAACCTCTGTTTCGTTTAATCAAAAGCATGCTTCTTTTTCGCTTTGTTGTTACGTAGCACAGCTGCTTAGAACGATATTACGATTTCAACAGTGTTGACGGTTATCTGTTGTGAAAATGCTAGTTTTAATTGAGACAATCACATTGGTGATGTAAGTGGAATAAAGGTGCAGCAATATTATATTAGATGTGTGTTATATCCGGCATTGGTGCATAGGCACGCCATACTTCCTTTTCAGTTCGTTCGCATCTACAAAGTTTTATATTTTGTGCATTGCCAACAATAAAATTGAACAGACGGTCACTCACAACCTCTGAGAGACCAATGTCTCTGGCACAGTCAGCTCACATACTAATACAAAAGTGAATGACCGAACGTGATGTGTAATTGTAGGAACTAGCATTCCCATGGTCCTTGAAATGCACACCTTACCTTCATGTCGCCAAGAGCCCCAAGATTAATTATCCGTTCATATTTCTGGAAAGCCGCCAAGGCCTCTATCGGTACACAGCACGGCGCTTTGTGTCCTTCCGTGTGCCATTGTTTGTTTTCATTCCCAGTCGGCACCGCGAGTGTGTTTTGACGTTTCGGCGTCCAGCGGGCATTGTCCGAGCTAGGTAGATAGATCAGTCCGGCTATCTGGCGCGACAAAAACTGCATATGTCGAGTGCCGCGCGCTGACAGATGGCCGCCTGTTGGCGGGCGCCCGACGGACACACTGACGGTAGTATCGGTCACACGTATAGCTAGCTGTGGAGAGTATGACCGGACGGTGGATGGAATGGTCAGTGAGATGTGTGAGCTTGGTCAGAGGTGGGTCAGAAAGATTGGTGGATGGTGTCCGAAGATGAGATGAACCCAAATGGACAATCACGGCAGGTGGTAGTGTGATCAACGTAATGCCATCCAATGTATGAATTGTGACCTGTCCAAGAGCCTCACGCAGGAGCCCTACCGATTCTCTGTCTCCGACTGCCCGCTGTGTCCGTTTGCGTTATCAGTCGAACACGACCACCGAATTAACAGCGCTGCCAGCCAACAGCGATCGGTCCGGTAATCCTACCCAGCCCGCCGAGGGCCGCCGCCAACAGCCGACCGCAAATCATAGCCAGGCCGGCAGGGCGCCGCGACGGGCCGATATTTCACGGGTCACGATTCACGCCGGTCCCCCGGCGCCGCGTCACGGGGCACACGGCCGAACGGGCCGTAAATAGTGAGTTACGGCGCCGCGATGGTCTGCCGTCACCGACTCCATATGCATAATGACACCCGCGCCATGCTAGCGTGGATTAAATGTATCTGGAAAGGACACGGAATATTGTTTCTTTATGCACGGGATGCGCCACTATGTTAATGATAATCGGTGATGCATGTGCAATAGCGGTGACATATATAATGCAATAAGCCGTCCAACGGCCGCTGTATATCGCCGTGTCGCCGTGTGCTGTCGCGGCTTGTCGTGCCACCGGCTGCCGGGCGGCCGGCCGGCCATCCATCGGGCCGGCACTTACACACGTTTCGCGGGGACAGCCGTGCATCATTGGCGGGCCGGCGGCGCTCCGTATCGCCGCCGATCGGCAGTGACGACTTCAGTTACACCACATATGAATAGAGCAGATACCGGCCGGCGCCGGGGCCGTATCAATTACGTGCGGCGAGCCGCGGCGGCCGGCCGGCCGAGCAGGTAATAACTCCGTTTGTACCGGCACACAGTCGCCGGCCGGCGCAGTAAACTCCGAGCCAGCGACGGCTTTATGCCGTGCTTATGCC